TTCATCTCACACACTTTGGACATGTTATCAGGAGGGACCAGTCCCTGGAGAAGGACATCATGCTTGGTAAAGTAGAGGGTCAGCAAAAAAGAGGAAGACCCTCAACAAGAGGATTGACACGGTGGCAGCAACAATGTGCTCAAGCATAACAACGATTTTGAGGATGGTGCAGGACTGGGTAGTGTTTCATTCTGTTGTATATAGGGTTGCTATAAGTCAGAACTGACTTGTCGGCACTTAACAACATTACTGTCCTATTGTTTCTGAGTTCAATATCCACAGAGAAAAGACCATCCAGGCAGCTCTGTGCTAGAAGCCAGGAAGAGGCACTTGGAACGTAGGCAAACATTTGGGCTTTTCACTTAATTGATAATATTTTTATTTGATCTTTCCAATCCAGGGATTAACTAGAGGTGGAGAGTATGAGGGTATAGGGGGAAGCCTTTGACTCGGGAAGAGAGTGGGGACATACACCTCTAATATCGAGGCATCCCCCCAGAAGATCAGATTCAAATGAACTTTATAAATGAAGGTTTATTCACTCAAGAAATATTGGGCCACTATTATGCATTAAGACCAAGTGATCAGGATAAAAAAAAAAGACAGCCCACTGTCCTGAAAGTTTACAGTCTCTGTTGGAGAATAAGAACAGGTTCACAATCCATAATCTGAAAAACATTTCTTCAAGAGTTGTGCACAGAAAAATATCTCAACTAACATGAGGCTGTGGTTTCTACTGATCCAATTTACTGCAGATAGTCATATGATTTGATGCAGAAATATTATGTTTGATTACCAGATGCATCGGTGGACACCACGGGGGTGTTTCATAATACAACGTACATATTTCAAAACTCTGACCCCTTTTGCTATGCTGGCAGACACTGGGCACTCTCCCACGTGCACCCACCTACAAGACCTCAAAGTGTCCCCTTGTGTCCACCTAGGATCCCACAGCTGGGGGCCCCCTGACCTGGGGATTGGCACTCATCATGGTCTCTCGAGCCCCCCTAGTGCTTCCAGGGGACCCAGGGGAGCAGCGAGGGTTGCAGCAAGCCCCAACCTCCATTTCCCCTTTATGTTTTTTCTGCTTTGGAAAACAGGATGGGGCTCAACAGAGCAGCCTGGCAGGACAAGTGTGGCGTGTCAACATAGTTTTGAAAAACAAATTAGAAGTCTCTTAAAATTAATACATATTAAATTATCATCAAGATGTGCTCATGTTTTCTTTTGTTTTCCATTTTATGATCAAGGACTCCCTTGCTTGTCTGACATCAGTGCGGAAGTGCCTGAGTCCCTGGGCCATGAGCGAGTGTGCACAAGGGAGAGAAGGGGGCCAGGACTGAGCTTTGGGGATGCAAGCAGGAAATAGCATAGGTGATCCAATAATTACAGAGGATGGTAGAAAACCCGGACCCACACTCTGATGGAAACAGTGTGGCTGTGGAAGCTAAAAATGAGATGGAGTCACTTATCTCCAGCTGAAAGAGCATGGCTGCTACCTGGTTTCACAGGCAAAAGTTTAAGATAATAACTGTCTTAGTCTGGGCAAAACCAGTAAAGCGTATAAATGCATATATATAGAGAGAGATTTATATCAAGGAAGTGGCTCATGCGGTTGTAGAGGCTGGCACATCCCAAGTCTATGGGTCAGGACAGAGGCTTCTCCTGATGCACATAGCCAGAGGCTAGTGAACCCAAGATCAGCAGGTCAGAGAGCAGGGCTCTTGCTCACAGCTGCGAAGATTGACAAATCCCAAAGATTGGCAGACAAGGCCACAGGTAAGTTGCTAACTCGAGTCCCAAGAACCAGAAGTCAGGTGAACAGGAACCAGCTATAGGATCCAGAACGAGCAAAAGCCCACAAGCCTTGCCGGAATATCCACTTATATTCAATGCAGGCCACACGCCCAGGGAAGCTCCTTTTCAACTGATTGGCTACTCACAGCACGTCCCATCATGGAGGTGATCACATAATATCAAATCTCATCATGGAAGTGATCACACCATCATACGACTGTAAAGCTACTGAGAATCATGGCCCAGCCAAGTTGACACACAACCTTAACCATCACAGTAACCTAACTTTTAGAAATAGTAATCAACTTGTTTCTGTAGATTTATGTATAATCAACAGTTCCTGCTCTTTGGCTCCTGCATTCCAGACAAACAGACACCTGGTTATCTGAGAGCCTGCTAGGTAGACTCTGACCCCTTGAGACCTGCGCCGCTTGTCTCCTTAGCCAAACACAATTCTGAGGAAGGAAAAATTTCAAGAGATATTTTTAATAAATATCCAAAAGACTCATCAAAACCTTTTGGACTTCCCTGGCTTTCTTTGCTCCTTGGATTATAAATACCCCATATTGTCTCACCTCAGGTGCAACACCCAGTCTCATGCTGTGTGTTGCCCAATTCGCGACTTGTATGATTGACTAATAAATCTCCACCATTGTTTTAACTTTGTTTCAACTCTCAGAGATTATTCAACAACAGTGAATTCTCAATTATTCAAACTGTTGGTGCCTGAGGTGCTATCTTAGCAGTGATCCATCCCCAAGATACATTTCCTGTGTTTTGGACTCAGGAACATTTCTTTAAGCCAGGACATATCCTAGCCAGACAGGGAAGGAGATGAGCAGAATAGCTGGGTTCCAATCCACTTACCAGCTGTGCGGTTAGACAAATTGCTTTACCATTCTCGTCTCAACTTCTTCACCTGTAAAATGGGTATGATAATACTCTCCTCAGAAAACTAAATGAGATCAATAGGTACTTGTCAAGGTGTCTAGCACAAACCAAGTCCTCTATAGTATTAGAATAATCATGTGGAGAGTCTCTGTCTCAACCCTTGGTAAGGAAATGTAGCCCAGGAAATCAGTTTCATGGACAAAATGTAAATAATAGACCTGTAGGGCGTGGCGGGTTGCTCAAAACAGCCTGGTGTTAGGTTTGATTAGAACCAGGTTTCAAGCCAGGAGGTGAAGGTTCAGACAAGTGATCTGCAAAAACGCTGCTTCTCCCTAGTTTTACTACCTGAGGGCTGGCTAGGTGCTGGGATTTCCACAAAGGGACTCACAGCTAATCTGTCAGGAAGGAAACATCTTGACAGCACTTCCCCGAGACCAAATGAAAGAAAGATAATCCCTACCCCATTGTAGAACATAAAAACTGAGGTCCCAGAGACGTGTGACAGAGCTAGGGCAGGGTAGGGAGAGACTTGACCAAAGACTCATCTGCTTTTAGCAAAACCGTCGCATCACAGATCTTTGACAAAGGCCCAAAGTCCATTAAATAGGGAAAAGACAATCTTTTTAACAAATGGTGCTGGCAAAACTGGATGTCCATCTGCAAAAAAATGAAACAGGACCCATACCTCACACCATACACAAAAACTAATTAAAAATGGATCAAACACCTATGTATAAAACCAAAAACTATAAAGATCATAGAAGAAAAAATAGGGTCAATGCTAGAGGCCCTAATACACAGCATAAATAGGATACAAATCATAACTAACAATATACAAACACCAGAAGATAAACTAGATAACTGAGATCTTCTACAAATTAAACACTTATGCTCATCAAAAGACTTCACCAAAAGAGTAAAGAGAGAATCTACAGACTGGGGAAAAAAAGTTTGGCTATGAAATAGCCCACATAGGTCTAATCTCTAAAATCTATAGGAAAATTCAACACCTCTGTCATGGATTGAATTGTGTCCCCCCAAAATATCTGTCAACTTGGCTAGGTTATGATTCCCAGTATTGTATGATTATGTACTATTTTTTCATCTGATGTGATTTCCTTATGTGTTGTAAACTCCATCACTATGATGTAATAAGATGGATTAGCGGCAGTTATACTGATGAGGTCTACAGGATTTGATAGTGTCT